CTGCAGTAAATTGGCACACACACTGCGAATGGCATAGGAGGAGAGTTTAGCTGGGCATCAGACCACATGTATTCCCATTGCATTTGATGCCAAGCAATCCTTTATAGAAGATTGTCTGCCTGGTTCTGGGCTCCAGGAGCAGAGATGACCGTAGGACAAGCATCCAAACAGGAAAACATCCTGGTTATGGGGAGACTGCTGAAAACTAGTGTGCGCCAATTGACCTGTGATCTAAGCCAAAATTCTCCCATGCAAACTGTGGGACACTGTGCATTGCAAACTGTGACCCTGCAGGAAGTGAGTAACACATACAAAAGCTTCCCTGGCCTTCCTCCTACATCTCTAGCTGTTCCTTCTTGGTCTCCCTCCCTGGTCTTCCTCTCTCATCAATGGGCTCAGTCCTTAGAGCTCTGTCTTAGGATCTAAACCCTTTTAATCTCTCTCTCTCTCTCTCTCTCTCTACATCCTCTTTCTAGGTCTCAGTCTTAACAAAATCATGAAATTTGTATCTTCTGGACACACCCACTTCTGACCTCCAGTCACACTTGGTCCCCATACAACTGTCTTCTTGGCGTCCGAGTCCTCAAGCTCAAAGCACCCAAACTGAACCTATGGCCTGTTCCCCCTGTGCTCTCTCAAATACTTGTCCTCCCCACAGTGGCTTCATGGCCCTGTAGTCTCCATCCTTCCAAGTATTTGGGTGAGAAACCTGAGACTCATTCTCAGTATCTCCAACTCCCTGACCCCATAAAGACCAAAGGCTACTTTTGTGGTTCTCAAATAATCCTTGAATGTGTTCTCCCTGACTATCTCCATTGAATCTCACTCCATCAAACCACTGTCTTAGTACTCTAGAGAGCAGGTGCCTTTCCAGCCTTTGGTATGTCTTCCCATGTTCCAGCAGGTCAGTGACTTACTTCTGACCCAATACATCTCCTAAAAGGAGACCAGAGTAAACTTCAACAGGTCCTTTGTGATGTTATGTCACTCCTCACTTAAAACTTTCCCTGGGTCTCCATCACTTCTGAGATTGTATTTCAAATCCTTAGTGAGACACCTGATGGCCAGCTTGCTCCAGCCCTCACAGATGAAGCTCCCACCTACAGCTTGGCTTCCCTGACTGCTTTCCCTTTATCTAAAACAGTTCCTTCGACAGCCTCTTAAATCCAAGACACACACACACACACTTATGCTTGCCTGTTTTCTGCCCACTGTTGAAGCTCAGTTTAAATTCAGTTTCATCAAGGAATTCTTTCATGGCCACTCAGAAAAGGTTATTTAAGGATACTATTCAGTGCCCAGATGTCCTGTTTTAATCAGTCAGTAACTTTTAAATGTTCACTTCTGTGGGGAGTGGATGAAATCTTGAGTGAGCATGTGTACTGTTGACATGTACATGGCCATGTTAAGGACCTTGGGAAGGGCAACACTTTCCCTTGGTGAGGCCCAGAAGCATGGCAAAGCCTTTTTCTGATCCACGTACGAGTGTGTACAAAAGATTGAACAGTATATATGCAAAACCTAGTAGCCACAGCTTCCTCCTTCAGGACAAGCATGGGCCACCCAACACCAGCTTTTCCATATATGCGCCTGTTTCTTCATTTCCAAGTTGCTCCAGTCAGGTTTCCAGGACCAAACCAAGCAGGATGAGTCACACTTTTCCCCAGATCAATGCCCTCAACAGCTGATGCAGACAGCTAGGTGTGTTAACTGTTGTACCTCAAGATGCAAGACACACTTTGGTTCATTCAAGATTTTCAATAATTGATACCTAACTGAAAATGTAGGGAAAAGAAGAGAAGAAGATGCCAAGGGCTATCTGTGCTCCCGGAACCTACCTGTAGCTTCTCGTTCTCAATGTGGCAGGGATAGAGACGAGAGTGGAGAGACAAGGAAGGACCAGACAGGAAGAAGATGGGAGTATGAGTGAGGAAGGGAAGGGACTGGCAGTGCTACTCTGGGATGACTTCAAAACACGAACGACAGAATGTCAGCTTTTTAGGAAGTTGGTCAGAAAACCCAGGCACAGAAAGACAAACACCACATGTTCTCTCTCCCACGTGGGTCCTAGCTTCCAATTCTTATATATGTGCGTCAGTGTGGGAGTGAATGTGTATTGAGGTCAGGAAGCTAGAGGGAGCATGAGAGGAAGGGGAACAGAGGAGTGGGAGTTGGGCAGTAGAACAGCTTGTTGTGAAAATGAAGAGGTCAATATCGGGGTAGAAAGCTTTAAGGAGTGATGGGTCAGGGAGATGGAGCATGGGTGAAGGGGGGTCACCCTAAAATAAGGATGTATAAAAAAGCCACAAGGAAATCTGATTGTTTTGCAAGTTAATTAAAATACAAGAGTTAAGAATCAGATTGTGAACAGAGGTAAAACCATCCCCAGAAGACAGATTATTAAGTGGGATACCCTATACATTTATGATATATTGGGAAAATGTAGCATTGATCCCACGGTGTGAGCTGGGGCAGTTTGTTACAACGCTCACGACAGATTGTTGACTATTGTAGTAATTCAAAGTTTGTCAAGGAGGCCGCTGGGGTCCCTAGAAACAATGCAAACTCCTGCCACTGCTCTTGGTTGCTCACCAGAATTAGATGGTAAAACCTGTCATAGAAGATGCCACAGCTTTGATTGGAACTGAGCTGGAAGCCTTCTTCCTGGCTGGGTACTTTGTATAATGCTGAAAGCTGTTATGAGGGATGCTGAGAGAGAAAAACCATCAAAGCCCATAGCCAACTGTGAACCTTGCATGGGATACTACTGACTTGCCGGGCAAGATGTGCTCACTGGTACAACAGTGGCATAGCTTCCATGGAGGCAACCAAGCACTCTATGACTTCTCTGACTGGATTTGAGGGCATTTCTCGCCTCAGAGGGAACTGATGCCTAGTATTATAAATCTGGCAAAATAAATAAATAAATAAATAAATAAATAAATAAATAAATCTGGCAAAAAGTCTGTGGCTGGAGAGGTCATAGAGCCTAGCGAGGAAATGAATACTGTTTCCTCTTTGCTAAACCAACACATCAAGTTGCATTCAAAATATTTATGTCTACAGATTGGTCCTGCTCAAGTCTTTGGTCAGAAAACTTTCAGTCAGAAGCTGTGGGAGTTAGTTACTGCAGAGACTCATTACTGGTTGGTAGAGCTGAGTGGGCACACACCTCACTTCTACCAGGGAACACTGCAGAGGCAGGGCGAGCAAGAGGAAAGGAGGAGTGTTATGGACCAAGGTCCTCTGGCAAGCGATGCCCACTGTACTCATGAACTCACACTACCTGTGACTGCCTCCATAAGAGCCAAACAAGATTTAGCCCATAACACTCCATCCTAGAAATAGCTGCCCACAGGACCCCTTCAATTCAGACATTTATGATATATTGGGAAAATGTAGCATTGATCCCACGGTGTGAGCTAGGGGCAGTTTGTTACAACGCTCACGACAGATTGTTGACTATTGTAGTAATTCAAAGTTTCATGAGGCACACCCCTCTCTGAGGAGCCACTGGCAGTTAATGGTTGCCAGGGGGAGACATTTTCTTTGGTGGTGTAGTTGTCTACACTTCTGTAATGACCTCTCTCCTATGTCTGTGTAAGTAACCTGGGTTGACTCACCTGGGTCACCAAGCAAACAAAACAAAACCAAGACACAGAAGTAGAAGGTAGACTGGGAAGAGAAAAGGGATCGGGAGAGTAGAAGGGTACACAAGAGGGAATTGGGAGTGAATGTGATCAATATATCCATGTATGAAAATATCAAAATGCAACCCATTACTGCACATAATTAATCATATGCTAATTAAAGGAGGAAGTTGGTTTGTAACTTCTGGTCTTGTTTTATCTCTAAAAATGTCCTATATGGAGATATCGTTTAGAAAAAAGAAAAGTATGGAAAACTGGGTTAGGAGAGGAAAGGACACTAGTTTTGGTTGCACAAAGGCAAGGCAGCCAACTTTTCATGGACTCAGCTGCCTCATACACAAAGTGACAAAGCACAGAGACATGAGGTGCCCTCTGTCCAATCCCTCTAAGCCCCAGGCATGCACCAGGGCCATCTCTCCCAACCCCTTAACCAAGTCATCAAAGGTATATCTCTTCACATGGGTCACAACAAGGCACATCTGAATTCTTCACAGCCCACTGTGAAAATGTCACTGTCTGAGAAATGTCCTGTTTCACCGAGAAGCCTCTTTGAACCGGTTTCCTTGTGGGAGTAGGTGCCGTATGTGGGAATCGTGGGAAGCCCGGACATAGGGATAAGTAATCAAACTGATGTAGTGTGAGCAGTTCGGACTAGAATTTCAGTTAAGACGTTATTTTTCACATGGCACCAAATGTCTTTCCACCCAATAGAGCATAAACACCAGCACATCATCTTCTCCTGCCTCTCAGTGTCCCCTCAGTGTCCTCTGCTGGTCTTGTATTTTGGTAAGAAGAGATGAATCCGACATGCTTAATAGAAACAGGGAGAATGAGGACATAAACAAGTGAAATAAAATCACTGGACATCTCAGAGACTGTGGTCAGTGAAATAGCTGCCCACAGGACCCCTTCAACGCAGACATTTATGATACATTGGGAAAATGTACCATTGATCCCACGGTGTGAGCTAGGGGCAGTTTGTTACAACGCTCAAGACAGATTGTCGACTATTGTAGTAATTACAGTTTCAAAGATAAACCAAGGGTGGTCCACACCCATTGTAAAATGTATCCACAGAGCTGTTACTATAAATTTGATGGATTAATCAACGTGGTCATCCACAGCAGAAAAATACAAGCTAATGATTTTCCTCTGAGGGTATCTCTGTGAAATAGCACACGACTCAGAAGGATGATGGACGTATTCATTATTACAAGACAAAGTGAAAAAACTGAGATGTCTCTTTATTAATAGCATGTTCCAGAACAATGGTTGTATGGGCAATAAAAAAAAAACAAACAACCTCAGACATCCACGCTAACGTCCAATGACAGTTTTCAGATTACTTACATCAGTGTCGGGTCCCTTATCCGCACCTGGACAAGAGAAAGTGACGAACTCATGGCACCTCTTGTGAACCACAAAACAGCAAACTGAGGAGAGAACAGAAAAGGAAAATCAGAAGGGTTTATATTTATATACCATATGGCGAGAAGTCATTTTAGTTTCGATATAGACAGAATCTCACAGCAACACTAAGACATTCCATTCAAAGATTAGCAACAATTTATTTCAATTAAGCTTTGGATAATACCACAAAATGCTCAGGAAAACTAGGCCATGACTTCTCAACTCTAAAGCTGGGGGAGAGGAGATCCAAAGCTTATGAGAGTCTTCCTCAACGTCTAACCCAGGATTATAATTTCAACATTTTTCACTTTCTTATACCTTTGCACGTTTATACAGACACACATGCACATATATGTACACATGTGCATATGAATACAAACATTATACACCCACTGGAGGTAAAATAAAAATAACTAGAAAAGGAATAACTGATAATAAATAATCCAGAAGTATCCTGAGTATGAGTTAGAAGACCCAGGTTTAATCCCCAGCGCCCATGGCTCAGCTCACAAACCATCTGTGACTCCAATTCCAGAGGACCCGACACTCACTTTTAGCCTCCGTGGCCACTTACACACATGTGGTACATAGACACATGTGCAGGCAAAACATTGATACACATAAAATAAAAATAAATATTTTTTTAAAAAATACACTAATGCAATCTATAGGAAATACCCCTTTGAAAATCAGTTGGGTGTAATCTAACACTTCCTTGCCACTGTCTTTGACAGAGGCTGTGCTCAAGAACCTTTGCAAATCTAGCAAAATTATTAAGAGACTTTTCTAAGCCCAGTGCCAATTTGATAACTAACCCTGAAGATGGATCAATAGAATAATTTAATTATTAGAAATGAATATTTAATCCCCAAGCAGTCTTTCCGGATGGTGTAATACGGAGGATAGGAAAGTGATCTTAGTCCTTTCCTTTCTTCAGAGCTCAGAGCAGAGCTCACAAAGCACCCTCTACTGTCGCTCTGCTGGTGTAATGAGGATGTTAAAGAAGCGACTTGCTGCCTACCTCAAGTATGGAAGCCACAGGCTTCAGTACAACCTCAAGTACGGAAGTCACAGGCTTCAGTACAACCTCAAGTACGGAAGTCACAAGGCTTCAGTACACTTTACAGTTGGCATGTTTGTTCCCACCAAGACACACACTGATAAAATCTTTCGGCCATTTTAGCAGTACATGGAAAAGGGACCCCAGGAAAGTGACTGGGCAACAAAAATTTGTCCTCTGTAAGTAAGACTTATGCCATTATAAAAGGGGGCGTTCAAGGCAGGGGAGATGATTCAGAAGGTAGAAGTGCTTGCCTCAAAACCTGATGAGCTTGGTTTAGGTCTCAGAGATCCATGTGGTGGAAGATTCCAACTGACCCCAGCTAGATGCCCTCTTACTTCCAAATGCGCACCATGGAGTGCATACATGACCACACACACACACACACACACACACACACACACACAGATACAGATACACACACAGAGTAAGAAGGGCATGGCCCTAACCTTTCATCTCTTAGACTCTTCAAGACCCTCCCTCATGTAGCTCATTCTTTTCCTTCCCTCTGGAGCAAATGACCAAAAGGTGCTTGCTGGTCTAGTGCCATGACCGTGGGTTTTCAGCATCCAGAATAGTGAGTTATTTATATACTATCCAGTGTGTAGGGATTTTGTTACAGCAGCAGAAAGGAACTAAGAGACAGTGCAGAGAAGGTTAGAGCATTCTGGTACTTCGTTCATGCGCTCTTTTCTCTTTGTACCGAGATATAACACAACCTCCTGCATTTGCACTAGTCCTTGAAGGAGATGAGGAAGGGGGGGGGTCGTTTGGTGACAGAGGACCGCAGGTTTGCTAAATCCCCAGAGAATTCACATACTGAGCCAAATGCTAAGGATTCTTAGAGAGTCAGGAGTGGCTGGGAAGAAATTCAGAATCTTTTCCTGTCCCTTGGAAACCATGGAAAGGCCTTGAATAAAGAGGAACGTGTGTGAAGACAACATGTCAGAGGCACAAGCGTGGGCGTCAGAAAGAATCCAACATGATAGGTTGAGGGCTAAAGCCTAGTTAGGAGCCTCTTACGTAGTCTAGGTAGAAAAGCAACCACCAATCATTATTTAGACTGTGAAGATGAAGAAGAACAGCAGAAGAGTGACTGGACCTGCTGAGTGACCACAGGATACCATTTAAAAGGCAGCCTACTGTGAACAGGCATTTGTTCCATCCTTCCCTGTGTATTATCACAGTGAAGCGTCATAGCCACACTGTGCAATATGCCTCAGTGTCCTCAGCTCTAGGTGGAAAAACACTGTTAGGATGTATAGTCAGCTTTAAGCACGCAATGAATCTTCATGAATGGGAGAGAAAGGGAGGGGGAGAAAACCCTCAGGGACAGATGGAAAGACCGATGGACCAGGGAAGTTCTAGCCTAAGGTCACCCACCTACTACGTAGTGAAGCCAGGTTTCATGCTAAGGTTTGCTTAATGCCACAGCCTGCTTTACTCTCACAGTGTCATGTCCACTGTCAGCATCAGGAGCAATGGGACAAGAGAAGGGGACATGGGTCCTTGCTGCCACCTGTAGCAGCCTGGAGAGTTGTTTCAGAAATCACAGCTCAGGTAAGTCAGGATTCTTGACTTTGCACAGAAGAGAATATTAGGACAAACCAAGGCCATCCTGTTTGTTGAGATTTTTACACGGATTTGGCCTCAGAGGTTGATAAAGAGGCAACTCTTAAGAATGAGACCACACCGTGTGGGCTTCTCTGGAGAGAGCTGGAGGAGCTGAGTGTGGAACTCAATGTGCAGGCCATGCCGGTGTAATCAGAGGGCAGCGCTGAGCGCCTCTGGGTCTGGAGAGCACGTGGGTCCCTTCCATGTGCTTCTGTCACAGGCATCTTGATTGGAAATTCTCCAATGGTAGCAATGGGGAGACCCACATGAGTCTGCCCACCCCTCCACACCTGGCACAAAGGTTTGCTTTATTTATGAAAATTATCATAAGAATCGCTTACAAAAGGAAAAGGGTTGCAGGGCATTAGTGCCTCATTGTGATTTGTGATGAAGGTGAAGGCTTGCGGGTAAACAAAGCATTTTCATTTCTTAATTTGTTCCACCATTGAAATCTTCACTTTCCTTTCTGTGCCATCACCACACCCAGATGAGCACTGTTCACACATAGGTATCTAGCCTGGAAGAACGGCGTACCTTTGCTGACTGTCATCTCTACCTGCCAGCGCACTGCCACGAGCTGAAGTATTTCTATTACACACTTCGAGAAAATTCTTACTTCAAATACTTTCCTAAGAATCAAGCTCTCTTTGCCCTCTAAAATTGTCAGAGGCAGCAAGATCCTTACCTACACCCAAATGATTTCCTCCTGCCACCCTGCCTTAGCCGCTCTTGTCCCAAGATTTCTCACATGTACACTTTCCATTTCAACAAATGCCTCCAAGAGGAGGCAGACAGAAGGTTTCTAGGGTTCTTGTGGACGTATGAATTATCTGGGGCATAAAGCCCCATAAGCCTGCTTGCACTTTGAACACTCCATTGGTGGCATGTTTAAACTTAGCATGCACAATACCCTAAGTTCAAACCCATCACTGGGTATGGTGGTACTCACTTACAATCCCAGAATACAAGGGAGGGGGTGTAGAGGCAGGATCAGAAGTTCACTAGCATCCTTGACTATGTAGTGAATTGGAGGCCGATAAGGGGCTACAGGAGACTCTGTCTCAAAAAGACCAAGTAATGTGTGCTCTCCCAAAACAGAGCAAACAGTATGCCTGTGCCTTAGTAAAGACAGAAGCTCTGCTGTCCCCTCCTCTCACCATTACCATCATCTCTAGAAAGGGAACAAGAAGAAGAGCGGTGGGGCTGACTGGCTGGATACAACACTTGTCTGGGAAAAGCTGCCCTAGAAAATGTGTGCAGTGGTCAGACATTCCAAAACTCACAGATGGCTGCCCTGGACCTTTGCTTCCAAGCTGTAGACTAAATAGGTAACATGGTTTTTGCAAGGCAACATAATCTAAGTTTCAGAGATGCCACAGGACTGTTGCAGAGAGAAGAAACAGGAGCAGGCCTAGTAAATGTGCTGGGCTTACCTGAAGGTGGCCAGTGGAGATTTCCACTGGTTTAAAATTGAGAGCTACTATTTTATTTTAAAATCTAAAGGAATTCAAATGACTGTGTAACTCAGGGTAAGAAGAACTGGGAGAAGGTGAACTCTGGGGTACCTGTCACATGACACAATTTCAACAGCGACCTGACTTTGGCAGGCTGGTATCTTCAAGATTGCCACACTCAGCTTGAAGGAAGTGAAGATACAACCATGGCCAGTCTTTTACTGTAGAGATATGCTTTAAAGAAGAGTCATCCTGCCAGACTGCATACATGGGAGAGGGTGTGTGTGAGTGTGTTTGTGTGTGTGTGTGTGTGTGTGTGTGTGTGTGTGTGTGTGTGTCAGAGGGGACAGGCATGTGTTGGGAGTTGCACATATGTGTCCATGTGGAGGTCAGAGGTCACTGTCACTCTCTTTCACTCTCTGTCTTATAAGTTTTTCAGACAAGGTCTTTTGCTTATTCAGAAGCACATCAATTTGGCAAGACTAGCTGTTCTGTGAGCTCCGGGGATCCTGCTATCTTCCCAGCACTGAGATTACAGGAGCACACCACCACACCTGGCTTTTTATGGGTGGGCTTGGGTCCCAAGCTCAGACCCTCATGCTTGTCAGGCAAGCATTTTCCCTAAGGAGTCATCTCTTGTCTCCAGGAGTCAGCCTGCAGCCTAATGACAGTGATTCAGAGTAAATCTTCATTCTACCATTTCTGAGCACAAAGTGACTTTCCTGTAACCCTCTCTGTAGGTGTTTGTGCTTCCCAACAGAGATAGATGGCCCCAGAAGTGAGCCCACCACACTGTGCAAATGATGCCACACTAGCATAAGAAGGAATCCAGTCCACAGACCTGAAGAAGTGAGGCTCCTCTACATGACCTGCCTTTGCTATGGAGAATGCTTGA